GGGGTCCTTTGATTGGTGGGGTTGCTCTCTGTTACTTTACATTGCAATATATAATGCCTTGAAGCTAATGTTTGAATTGCATTTCAATTGAATTGAATTGAAAAAATTGAATCTCATGCATGGGCAATTCCATCTCAACTCATCACAGTTTTAAGACCATTTCTGGTCAACCATCTCTAACTTGAATACAGATTTTATGTTCCAGTGACTTCTGCAAAATGTTGCCTTCATATATCAAATGTATCTTTTTCCACAATGGGACAGATATGTGACAAATGAAACATGCAGATAACTTTTTATTCACAAAAATGAAGTCAACGATACTTTCATCCAGCCTATGAATTAAGCAAATACCAAAAAAGCTAAAATATTAGTAGTGCACTAATTATGCCTGGAAAAACTGCATTAAACATATGCATATTTTTCATTTTTGAGAGCAACTCTACTTACCATTTACAGGCCCAACATACATTAAAACAGACATTAAATGTAGCTTTTTCACAACTCTTGCAGCATTCATTCTGACAGTCATAACTCTGTTTGCCTGTAGCACTTGACTAGGCTTGGTTTGTGGGGGTTAGAGTAAGAGTTTTGTATCAGACTACTGATTGTGCAAGGCAAACTAAAATGTTAACATAATAAACTGCTTATAAATCATCAAACCATGTTGATATCATCAAGGTTAACTCCTGTTAGAGGTAGACTCCATTGTTTCTCATACCCAACAGAGGACAACTCCTCTGGCTGCAAAGGTCAGACTGTATAGATGTCTGTGAAAAGACATCACTTGACTCTGCTAAAGAGAGATACAGTACTGGGTTGGGTGTGGGGGTATGAGCAAGGGGAAGATCGAGTATATGTCCTTTAGTTACCAACATGCCATACTAGTGCCATAGATTAGGGTTTATGCATTATTTTGGCTCCTTAAAGCTCTGGATTATTGCAAGTAAAACACTAAAAGCCAGACAGGTTCACTTTCAACTCAATGGATGATGCTGTGCCTCAAGGTGGCTGCTAATTATGGCTTTGTGTGAGTATGTGTGTGTGTGTGTGTGAAGGCAATGATGCTAAGGCAGCACTGTCTCCGGACCGACACAGCATGACAATGACAGGAAGGGAGAGAGACAAGAAAGAGGGATGGAACAGAAACTGAGAGAAAGAGAAAGTGAAATAAAAATGAAACTATGAAAAAATGCAGAGAACAAGCCTGAGAGAAAAGACAGACAGTCCTACAGCCAGTTTCAGTCTAGACAGGGTCAGCCAAAGTGTCATGTACACTTTAAAGCAATCTTTAAAGTGACACACAGTCCCAGGAAGATCCCCGATAGCCTGGATATGTAGAGTATAATCTGAGGAACATGAGCTGTCCCTGTTTTATATGAACTTAAACCATTCTGAATTAAAGAAAAATCTGTGAGTATATGTGAATTAATGATGATGCTGAAGTATCTTCATTATCATGCAAAAGACAACTAACAATAAATTATTTAGTGAAATGTTATTGTTATTCTTTTTTCAGCCAGCATGCAATTCTGAATAGGGGACGAGGTTCGTTACTAGATTCATTATTCCCTAAATCTAAATCTAAATCTAAAAAATAGACAATTAATCTGTGAAACAAATGCTAACTAAATATAACTGAAATAAGTGATTATGTAAAATAAGGACATACACTGGCATTTTTTAAATTCATATCTGTGCAATGTTATGTGACATTGTTAATTCTTGTTTTGGTAATGTTTCTTCTTTTTTTTGGTTTTGGTCATATTTCTGATTGCCCATTTGGGGGCCCAGCATTAAATTCTTAATTCTTTATTTCTTTTTGTTTATTTATTTGCAAATAGCTACTTCCTACTATCCAACCATCTGGCTGGATCTGGTTCATACCAATCATTTGTCTAAAGAAGGCTAAGTTTCTCTCTTAATGGATGTTTGGTTTCCAAGTACCTCTTTAGCTTGGCACCATGGTAGCATTAACCAAACAGCTGTAAACTCGAATTCTATGAAAAGCCTCTCCATCATTCTTTTAAAAAGAGGAACGAGGGAGCAGCAGCTGTAGGAGACCTCCTAACTAGTGCCAAATATGTGACCTGAGGAGGCCACCTCTACCATCTAATGTATCACTACATATCCATAACCATTGTTTCCATTTGACAGTTTAACAAATCTGAGTACAGAACAGTTATCAGTAGGGCTACATGCTGTGCTCGGTGATACCACAGATAAATAAATGTCACAGGTGTATGTAAAACATACAAACATTACCCAACAATCTGTGGTTATGGTTAGCTTTGCTTTAGCAGTGCTCTGCTTTTTATACCCAGCATTTCCCAGTTGAAACAGAAAAAAAACTACCTTGTAAAGGGACCCTGGATACTGGTACAGGCCCACACAGCGACTATAGACTCTACATGTAGACTCAACGGAACTGAAATACTGCTGTAGTCCCTTGTTAGCACAAATCAGCCACCTTGAAATTAAGATAAATCCCTCTCTCAAGGCTATAATAATGCATGTCTCTGTGTGTCTATGAAGCTATTGTGTCTTCTCTATTTAACTCTGCAGACTGGATGACTCCTTTGCTGTCCTTCCTCCAGTGTTCTCTTCCTCACACCCTGTAGTTAGCTATCCATTTTACTTTGCTCTTAACCTTGATGCTCTAACATTTCCTTCTTTCATTTCTCTATGGTTCAATTATGGAAGGAAGGCAAGCCTCAAAGCTTATCTCTCCACTGTGCCCTCATAGACAATGTTTGTATACTTTAAAACCACTACTACTGCTACCGTATTTATTTACCATGATGCAGGGAATGAATCACAGAAAAATATTCAGGCAACAGTTACTGTATACACGTTTTTACAAGCATCTCAGATTTATTTATTTATTAAAAGTGAGTAACTGTAGCATCCCTGGCTGAATGATGGTCTCTTATACTGATGCTTCACAGAGGTTTTATTGGAAAGGTTTTTATTGAAACATTCAGTGAAGACACCGTAAGGGCTAGGAGCAAAACAAAACCAGCAATATTAATACATTAATATTAATAACATCAAATTAACATGGTCATGTCATACCTTGCTTTGGTGGTATTTTCATTTGAATCACAGGCTT